GGTCTGAAACATTCTTCTGTATGGGAACAAATTCATTCGGTACTCGAACAGCCTTCTGGAACGAATTAGGTTCATATCCCGAGGTACCACTGTATTGTATATTTTGCGTATGCTATAATTTCAAATAGAGAAATGTATGTGCAGCTCCATGATAACATATTCATCCCAACAGTATGCAGTAGGACCGCCATATCCATGGTCTGGTTTCCGTGATCCTCGGTTTACCCTGGCCATAAAATGAACCAAAATTTTGCTTAATAATTACATCAAAGTGAAAAAATAATGATGGTGACAGTTCTTCAAAGCCTAAGTTATGAAGTGCTTCCCATCGCTGCAAACGAAGTGCTAATTCTCGACTTATTGTGCATAGTGTGTCAATTAAAGTTTATCATACATATGTATGTAAACGTAAAATGACTTAAATATAGGGTTCATTACAATGTGCTTCGGGGCCTGGTGGCAAAAGCTCTCGCTTTACACAGCGAGGGTCTGGGTTCGATTCCCAGCGAAGGGGTGGAAACATTGGACGTGTTTCCTTACACTGGTTGTCTGTGTTCACTCATCAGTAAAATGGGCACCTGGGTGTTAGTGGACTGGTGTGGGTTACATCCTGGGTGTTAGTGGACTGGTGTGGGTCACATCCTGGGTGTTAGTGGACTGGTGTGGATCACATCCTGGGTGTTAGTGGACTGGTGTGGGTCACATCCTGGGTGTTAGTGGACTGGTGTGGGTCACATCCTGGGTGTTAGTGGACTGGTGTGGGTCACATCCTGGGTGTTAGTGGACTGGTGTGGGTCACATCCTGGGTGTTAGTGGACTGGTGTGGGTCACATCCTGGGTGTTAGTGGACTGGTGTGGGTCACATCCTGGGTGTTAGTGGACTGGTGTGGGTCACATCCTGGGTGTTAGTGGACTGGTGTGGGTCACATCCTGGGTGTTAGTGGACTGGTGTGGGTCACATCCTGGGTGTTAGTGGACTGGTGTGGGTCACATCCTGGGTGTTAGTGGACTGGTGTGGGTCACATCCTGGGTGTTAGTGGACTGGTGTGGGTCACATCCTGGGTGTTAGTGGACTGGTGTGGGTCACATCCTGGGTGTTAGTGGACTGGTGTGGGTCACATCCTGGGTGTTAGTGGACTGGTGTGGGTCACATCCTGGGTGTTAGTGGACTGGTGTGGGTCACATCCTGGGTGTTAGTGGACTGGTGTGGGTCACATCCTGGGTGTTAGTGGACTGGTGTGGGTCACATCCTGGGTGTTAGTGGACTGGTGTGGGTCACATCCTGGGTGTTAGTGGACTGGTGTGGGTCACATCCTGGGTGTTAGTGGACTGGTGTGGGTCACATCCTGGGTGTTAGTGGACTGGTGTGGGTCACATCCTGGGTGTTAGTGGACTGGTGTGGGTCACATCCTGGGTGTTAGTGGACTGGTGTGGGTCACATCCTGGGTGTTAGTGGACTGGTGTGGGTCACATCCTGGGTGTTAGTGGACTGGTGTGGGTCACATCCTGGGACAAAACTGACCTAATTTGCGGGAAATGCTCAGCATAACAAGTGACTTGCTATATAGTAGTATGTCACTGATGTCAGCTATGGTCTGTATACCTTGTACATGTACTGGTATACCTTGTACATGTACTGGTATACCTTGTACTTGTACTGGTATACCTTGTACATGTACTGGTATACCTTGTACATGTACTGGTATACCTTGTACATGTACTGGTATACCTTGTACATGTACTGGTATACCTTGTACATGTACTGGTATACCTTGTACATGTACTGGTATACCTTGTACTTGTACTGGTTACCTTGTACATGTACTGGTATACCTTGTACATGTACTGGTATACCTTGTACATGTACTGGTATACCTTGTACATGTACTGGTATACCTTGTACATGTACTGGTATACCTTGTACATGTACTGGTATACCTTGTACATGTACTGGTATACCTTGTACATGTACTGGTATACCTTGTACATGTAACTGGTATACCTTGTACATGTACTGGTATACCTTGTACATGTACTGGTATACCTTGTACATGTACTGGTATACCTTGTACTTGTACAGTGTTAGTTTAATATGTTTATTATTCATCCCATACCCTTCCTGTGGGCAGTAGTCAAAAGATGTATGTACTTGTAGAAATAAAGATATAGGCTGTGGTTTTGGGTATCCGTGGTAGTGAAATAAAGACTATTTCCTTGCACAGCTTACAATGTGCGGTTTATATATTATAAAATACAGTGGACCCTCGGCTAACGATATTAATCCGTTCCTGAAAATTCATCGTTAGCTGAAATTATCGTTAGCTGAATTAATTTTCCCCATAAGAAATAATGGAAATCAAATTAATCCATGCAAGACACCCCAAAGTATGAAAAAAAAAATTTTTTTTACCATATGAAATATTAATTTTAATACACACAAACTGACACTTACCTTTATTGAAGATCTGGTGATGAATGATGGGATGGGAGGAGGGGAGAGTGTGGATGTTGTTAATTTTTAGAAGGGGAATCCCCTTCCATTAGGACTTGAGGTACCAAGTCCTTTTCTGGGGTTACTTTTCTTCTTCTTTTAATGCCACTAGGACCAGCTTGAGAGTCACTGGACCTCTGTCGCACAACATATCTGTCCATAGAGGCCTGTACCTCCCGTTCCTTTATGACTTTTCTAAAGTGGGTCACAACATTGTCACTGTAATAGTCACCAGCACGGCTTGCAATAACTGTGAGGATGATTTTCATCAAAAAAGGTTTGCACTTCAAGCCACTTTGCACACATTTCCTTAACCTTTGAAGTAGGCAACTTCCTCAATTTCTCTATCCCCTCCTCTGGAGCAGTTTCCTCAGGTGTGGCCTCTTGCTGTTGAAGATGATCTAGCAGGTCATCAGTGGTTAGTTCTTCATTGTCCTCCTCCACCAACTCTTCCACATCCTCCCCACTAACCTCCAACCCCAAGGACTTCCCCAATGCCACAGTTGATTCCACAACTTGCATACACTTCTCAGGGTTAGCCTCAAATCCTTCAAAATCCCTTTTGTCTACACATTCTGGCCACAGTTTCTTCCAAGCAGAGTTCAAGGTCCTCGTAGTCACTCCCTCCCAAGCCTTACCTATAATGTTTACACAATTGAGGATGGTAAAATGATCTTTCCAAAACTCTTAGAGTCAGTTGAGTTTCTGAGGTCACTACAAAGCACCTTTGAAACATAGCTTTTGTGGAGAGTTTTTTGAAGTTTGCAATGACCTGCTGGTCCATGGGTTGCAGGAGAGGAGTGGTATTAGGAGGCAAAAACTTGACCTTAATGAGCTTATGTCCCCAGAAAGTCGCTCTGCCACGTCTGAAGGATGACCAGGAGCATTGTCTAATACCAGGAGGCACTTAAGGTCAAATTTATTTTCCAGGAGGTAATTTTTCACAGTGGGGGCAAATGCATGGTGTAACCAGTCATAGAAAAGGTCTCTAGTGACCCATGCCTTACTGTTTGCCCTCCACAGCACACACAAATTAGCCTTGAGGACATTGTTTCTCCTGAATACTCTGGGAGTTTCAGAGTGATACACCAATAAAGGCTTCACTTTGCAATCAACACTAGCATTAGCACACATCAAGAGAGTAAGCCTTCTTTCATAGGCTTATGTCCTAGGTGAGGGGCTCTTGCTTTAGGGAATTGGATCTGTGCTCCAGTTTCCCACAATTAAGCCTTGTATGTCCTTCACATAACCCTTCCCCCATCAGGCGCTGTGTAATCCTCCGGATTAGCCTTCCCCTTGATTGTAATAATAATTTAATGTCCTAGGACTTTGCTCTTTTCCTCCTGAGTAACCTACTAGTCTGCTTGGCATTTTTCTCAAAAAGGCACTCTGCTTTCATCACATTAACACTTGTTCAGGTTTCATTCCTTCACTGTTCATTATACTCCTTGAATTCTTCAACATTTTTCAGCCGCATCTCTTGTTGGTCAAACTGGCAGCCTCAGCCATCCTTATCACTTATGTATGCCACATACGAATTTAATCTCTCAAACCAACTTTGGTGGTCTTAAACTATCACTCACATCACCTACTATTGTCTAGCATTATTCTATTTTAATCGTCATGCAACTTCTCAGCCTTTTCCTATATGGAGTTGAGAGATTCTATCTCCTGCCTATGTGTTTTTCGCTTATCATCACCAATAACAGGTCACAACATCTTCTATCACTTGCGATCTCTTGTTTCGAAAACAAAGTTGCACCTTTTGCAAAAACAGCTTCCTTGATTGCCGTTTTGTTGGCCACGATAGTAGCGATGGTTGATTGGGGTTTCGTATACAACCTGACCAGCTCGGAGACACACACTCTACTTTCGTACTTAGCAATTATCTCTTTCTTCATATCCATAATAATTCTCACCCTTTTTCCTGTAGGGTTGGCACTAGAAGCTTTCTTGGGGCCTATGGTGACTTATTTTGCAGGTACAATCACTAAAAACGCTGTGATAACATGAAATGTTCCGATTGTATGCTTGGATGCGACTGTGGTGGCTGGCTTGTAAACACTGGCACCCACGGAACAAGTGAGTTGTGCTCAGGCCACACATGGGCGCGTCTCGAGCGAATCTCGTTGGGCGAGTTTTTTAGCGCTAGCCGAGGCAAAATTTTTGCATTAAAATGTATCGCTTGCCGGATTTAACGTTAGGTGATGCCATCATTACCCGAGGGTCCACACTATTAATTACAAAGAAGGCCACTAGCATGCCTAAGCATTTTGGGCAGGATTTGATAGGTCAGAGTGTATTCCCTGGAGATTCGGGGGTCCTACTGTACGGTTTTAACAGCATTTGCACAACTTTGCACCCCACATCATTTACATCCACAACAATACAACTAGCTTTGCAAGGAAATCAACATTTTCACTTTTATATCATTCTTTTATATAATGTACAAAAATGGATTTCCAATAATGTCTTGTTGAATATAAATCAAAATTTTCTTTAATTTCAGGTATTGAACCAGTTTGCCTCAGTGCTATGAAATGTTGCCGCAGACATTCGTGAAGAATCTACTGAATATTGTTGCGATCATCTCTTACATGCTACAACAGTTTACGAGTTGTGTGAAACCTACGGGTTACTTACACTTTTGTCGATGAAGTGATACTAATTGCTATCTTGGTCGTTTGTAAAAGCTCCAGCAGAAATGTTACCAAATGTAACTACAGTAACCTCTTATAAAGCTCCTCGATACTTTAAGTCCTAAACTTACGAACACATTGAGAATCTTCTGTATTGTGTATATCGTTATGTATATCTATATTGTGTACGTTGTAATTACATGTATATCATTATACACAATTCAGGAGGTCCCCCAATGTGTTCGTAAGTCAAGGACTTACTGTATAGAGCATTTTTTGCGTAAATGAAATTGGCTGAACTTCCAGTTGTATTTACAAAAAAAATTGCACTATGGAATTCTCTTTATGAATCTTTACAAGTTGTATATACTGGCTATGCAGTGGTATATGGTACCCCTGTGTAAGCCAGTGGTATGTGGTACCCTGTGTAAACCAGTGGTATGTGGTACCCCTGTGTGAGCCAGAGGTTAGTGGTACCCTGTGTAAACCAGTGGTATGTGGTACCGTGTGTTAGCCAGTGGTACATTATGTGCAAAGTCTATGTATATTTGAAGCTCTGCCGAAGTGGTAATGTACTGAATACGCAAACTCAATACTTGATATGTGATGTTTCTTCGTGAATCACTTAATAGAAGTCGCGTTTGTAATGCCGCCCCAGTAAGTGCTCTTACTGACCAGATTCAATTCGAGATTGATTTACAATAATTATTATTATAGTCAAAAAGAAGTGCTAATGATTTACAGTGATTATATACGTTGGTTGGAACACTTACGACAATGAGTCATACCACAAAATTATCATTGCAGCTAATTGTGTGCTGGATATTCGTTGTTTTTCTTATGCCAAATCATACCATGAAATTATTACTATTAAAGTGAATCATACTGGGAAATCATACATCCTTACACATGAATCATACTTGGAAAGAATTTATTCTAATTGCATTAAACCACTGATAACATGATTGTTCATTTTACACCGAGACATGATTGTTCATTTTATACCGAGTCATGATTGGTGTTATTTTTAATCAAGCTGCATTTTATTTTATAAACTTAAATCTGTGGTGTTTGTTAAGGGTAATGTTTAAGACGTCCTTGTCCATGGTAATGTTTAAGGTGCTTAGGTTTATTTAAAGGCATTAAAAGAAAGAAGATAGAGGATGAAGAGTTGGTTTCATCTTTGCCTTCTGGGAAATATTTACGTCTCTCTCGCCGTGATGTAAGCTGCACTCTGATTGGAGAGAGAGGGGAATGTTCCAGTGGCACCTTTTAAAGTGCCCTAAAGCTCTTAAGGTATTTATCGTACAGTTACATTTTTTTTATTATTAACCTTTTCACTGTCAATGCCAAGGTCACTTACATATTATTATAATCAAATAGAGTGCTAAACCAACAAGGGTTCGGTTGCTTACACAGATCTGTGTTTTGAGCTCGACGTCTTCACATAAGCTGTGAGTGGTAAATTGTGGCCCAGACATAAGGGTGGGTCTGTGCAGCAAGTGCACACAGAATCCAAAAATTAATAATATAATATCTTTATTTTCTACAAGTACATGTACAAGGTATACAGTCCTAGCTGACAACAATGACATACTACTATATAGAAAGTCCCTTGTTATGCTCCGATGGAAATAAGTGGTATAAAATACCGACACAATGGAAATATAAACACAAATGCAGTATAATGTGATCCTTTATTGACAACGTTTCACCCACACAGTGGGCTTTTTCAAGTCACACACGAATCTACCTGGGGTTGGAAGGTACGAGAGTATTTATAGTCAGAATGTTGAAGTCAGGTGAAGAATGCTGCATCTGATGATCTACCGGGTGGGGTTATAGACTCTTGGGTAGCTTGGCAGGGGTATTGGACAAGTTGTAGACCTTCTGCAGTGTTCTTTGTGGGGGTAGCGATGAAGAAGTTTCTTGGCGAGTGGTTCAGCTATGTTATAGAAGCCATTGTTCTGGTTGAAATTGTTGGTTATAGAGATAAACGATGATTCCAGGATTCTTCTGTATTGAGTGTTGTCTTCTGTGGCTATAAGTCTTGAGTTTCTGTAGTTTAATTAAATGGTTGTGTGAATTGCGATGTTGTACACAGGCATTCCTTGTATCGTCAGTCCTGCTTGCATATTGGTGTTCTGAAATACGTGTTTGGAGGTCTCTTGATGTTTCGCCCACATATAATTTGTTGCAGTCATTACAAGGGATTATGTATACCCCTGCAGAGGATGGAGGCTTGTCCTGTCTACTACTGGTGATGTCCTTGATGGTCGTGGTTGTGGAGGTAGATACTTGGAATGATGTTTTGGCAAAGATGTTGGAAACATGTTTGGCAATGGAGTTGGTGGGAAGGACTATGTATCTCTTCTCGGCAGTGTCTTCTCTGGGTGTGTTGAAGATGTTTAATGCTCGCCGTCTGCAGTCTCTGATGAAGTGACGAGGATAGTGGAGTTTGGAAAATACTTGTTCAATTATAGTGCATTCTTCCTCAAGGAACTCGTTGCTGCAGATTCTGAGTGCACGCAGGAAGAAGCCTATAATTACACCACGTTTGGTTTTGGTGTCGTGGTGAGAGTAGAAGTGGAGAAGATCGTTTTGGTTGGTGGGTTTTCGATAGACTTTAAAACGAAGTTCGTGGTCAGCTTTGCAGAGTAGAACATCAAGGACAACATCAAGTCGACAACACTCTTCCTTTCCTTGATGTTCTACTCTGCAAAGCTGACCACGAACTTCGTTTTAAAGTCTATCGAAAACCCACCAACCAAAACGATCTTTACTGATGGGGAACATAGACAACAGGTGGAAAGAAACACGTCCAATGTTTCTACTCTGGCTAGGAATCGAACCCAGACCCTCACCGTGTGAAGCGAGAGCGTTAGCCACCAGGCCACCAGAGCCCCTAATGCTCCATGCGGTGCACGTTGAGAAAAGCAAACCTCTGATCTTGTTTAAAAAAAAAATCAAACCACGGCAGGGACTGAACTCATGGTGAGTGAGTCATAAAACTCCGGGCAATCATAACATCACGATTTCACGAGTCATCTTGAGTTTGGTTTAAAATAGTTACTGATTACCGGTCCACTTCTTTAAAAATTTTTGTAGTTATAACCATTTGTTTTGAATACTTGAAAATTGTAAACGTATCCAAAAATATGAATATTAAATATGCAGGGATGTGTAACCCTTTCAGTGTCAGTGCTGTTATATTACGACTTTGAAGCCAGTGTTGGTCCCGTAATACTGTGCCAAAATTCTAGTAGCTTCCAATCTTGCGGGAGAAAGCTGGTAGGCCTACATATGAGAGAATATGTCTGAGTGGTCAGTGTGTGCAGTATAAGAAAAATTCCTGCAGCACGCAGTGCATGAGATAAAAAAAAAATGGACTGTTTTTGGTGTAAAGCAGTAACTTCGTAGTGTATTTTTGTATGGTTTTTATGGTTGTATTCTCAGTTTCTTGGTCTCATTTGATAGACTGGAAGATATATTATAGATATGATTTTCAATGGTTTACAGAATAAAGTAGCTTGAAATTGAGCTCAAAGTAGCAGAAATGTCCAATTTTTGATGTTTAAGAGTAAACAAACACTGTCACGCATCCAATACACATCAACTGGCCAGTCTAATATGCATTCACAAATGCACTGACATTATTTGTACAATTACCATTATGCAGTAGTCTGAATAACAATTAAATCATTTTTTTTTTTTTTTTGTGAATAAAAATTCAAAACGAAAAACAAGCATAATATAAGAGGAGCTTGGAGACATGACTAATGAACAGAGAAAATGTTATTTATTCTGGACCGTATCTTGAAATTGGCCTTGAATTTTGTGCGAAACTTGCCAAATTAGTCCATAAACCATACCCCCGGCCGGGATTGAACCCGCGGTCATAGAGTCTCAAAACTCCAGCCCGTCGCGTTAGCCACTAGACCAGCTAGCCACAATAAGATTCATCCAACTAGGTATATTTCTACACCATAGGAAAGTTAGCACCTAGTTGGATGAATCTTATTGTGGCTAGCTGGTCTAGTGGCTAACGCGACGGGCTGGAGTTTTGAGACTCTATGACCGTGGGTTCAATCCCGGCCGGGGGTATGGTTTATTTGCAATCATGTCATTACGATTTCTTAAGTCAAGTCTTGCCAAATTAGTAATTTCTCATCACTTCACTGGGTAGTTGAAATAGGTAATTGGGCAGTTTTTTGTAATCAGTCAATAGAATAAAAGGAGCTGTAGCTAAATAGCTATGAATTTGGTTGACTGGAACAATGGAATTGACCCAAAATAGGGATTAAAGTGGGCAAAATCGCCGATATGTAAATATCACCGAGACTACTTACTTCACAAGAGTGTAATTCCCTAAGTTTTCCATCAAATTTCATGCTTTTGGTTTCATTACCTTCTGAAAAAGATTCTCTATCACTTCATAACTTGAAGTAATTTTTTTTTTTAAATTCTTCGACCCTGGGAGCAAGTTTGTGAGCAGGGGTCTCGACTCTTAAAGGGTTAACATATTTATAGATGGATTGTAAAAGAAGTAAATGCTAGGGTGTTGGGGAGAGGTGTGGGATTATATTATGGGGAATCAGATGCAAAATGGGAGTTGACACAATTACTGTTTGCTGATGATGTGCTTATGGGGGATTTTAAAGAAAAGTTGCAAAGGTTTGCGGATGAGTTTGGGAGAGTGTGTAAAGGTAGAAAGTTGAAAGTGAACATAGATAAGAGTGAGATGATGAGGGTATGAAACAAGTTAGGTAAAGAAAAATATTACGTTGGTGGAAGGGAGTATTGAAGAAGTGAATGTTTTCAGATATTTGGGAGTTGACGTGTCAGCGGATGGGTTTATGATGGATGAAGTTAACCATAGAACTGATAAAGGAAAAAAGGCGAGTGGTGTGTTAACATATCTGTGGAGACAAAAAAAAAACGTTATCTATGGAGGCAAAGAAGGGAATGTATGACAAGTATATTGGTACCAACACTCTTATATGGGTGTGAAGCTTGGGTTGTAAATGTTGCAGCGAGGAGGCGCCTTGAGGTAGTGGAGTTGTCATGTCTGAGGGCAATGTGTGGTGTAAACATTATGCAAAGAATTCATTGTGGAAATTAAGAGGCATGGAGTTAATAAAAGTATTATTCACAGGGATGAGGAGGGGTTGTTGAGGTGTTTTGGTTATTTACAGAGGATGGAGCAAAATAGGATGACTTGGAGGGTGTATAAATCTGTAGTGGAGGATGGAGGGACGGGGTAAAAGAGGTTATGTTTGCATGGGTCTTGGACATGCAGCAGGCGTGTGGGAGCATGTTAGATAGGAGTGAATGGAGACTAATGGTTTTTGGGACCTGACAAGCTGTTGGAGTGTGAGCAAGGTAATATTTTGTGAAGGGATTCAGGGAAACTGGTTAGCCAGACTTGAGTCCTGGAGGTGGGGAGTACAATGCCTGCACGTGGAGGGTTTTGGGGTATTGGCTGTTTGGAGTGATATCTAAACTGTCATATCTGGGTACCTCTGCAAAAACTGATTGTGTGAATGATGGTGAAATCGTCTCTTTTTTTGGGTCACCCTGCCTCGGTGGGAGACAGCCAACATGTTAAAAAAAACTTTATAACAGATGATTTTAGTTTTTTCTTGACTGGAAGTAGCTTAAAATTGGCCATAAAGTAGTGGAAATAATGGATTTATGTCGATATTCCCGAGGACGGGTAAGGTCTTCCCTCCCTGGTCTGTTTTAATGGTTTTTAATAGGTCTTTCTCAGTTACTGGGATGCTGTAAACCATCACAAATCATTCCTGGTTATATTTTGTTTGAGAAGTAGAGTAAATTTAAATTTTTGAATGATGAATTAAAATTTTAAAGCGAGTGTAATGAAGAGGCTGGGGACATAATTAATGAACAGAGGGAATGTTTTAGTCCCAGGAATTTCAATGTTGTTTATCTTGGACTATTTTTAAATTGGTATTTAATTTTGTGTAAAATTGGCCAAATTACTGACCTCTGTGTACTTTATAGGGTAGTTTTATAGCTGAATGGGAGTTTTTTTTTCGTGCTCACTTGATAGAATGGAAGACATTCACACACAACATCGATTTTCTGATGGTCTAGTAACTCATAATCCATACAAATTTACGAGCAGGGACTTGCAATTCCCGCGGCAGTGTATTTACCACCCAACTGTGCACCACTTATCCAACCCCAAGACCAAGGAATACTGCGCTCTCTAAAGACAAAAAACTCAGTAATTCAGAAAGGTTTTGGAACGAAAGGTCTGGAAAATCAATGTTGTACCTGTACCAGCCTGATAAGAAGGGCAAAAAAAATTGTATTATGAGAACAGATTATCCAACTTACGAGGTGATATAAAAAAGACCTGGAAAACCCTATCAGAAACTCTAGGAATAAAAAAGATATCACGAAATAGCGAAATTAAATTAGCAAAATCAGATGAACCCCAACTCCCACCAACAGAAACAGCAAACAGACTCAATGATTTCTTCTCCACTATAGGACAAAACCTTGCCAATAAAATCCCAAGCTCAGATACCCGACCAAATGACTACCTCACTGGCAACTACCTGAACACACTGTTCCTAGCTCCGACTAACCCATACGAAGTCTTCCTTATTATCAACACACTAAAAAATAAGATAGGAGATTTAAATACCTCACCACCCTTTATATACAAAAAAGTGTCACAAGTGCTATCACCAATCATTGCAACACTCTTTAACAAATCCATTGAATCCTCTACCTTCCCTACAGTTCTCAAAATAGCAAGGGTCACCCCGATCCATAAAGGAGGAGACCAAACAGAGTTGAATAACTATAGGCCAATATCCAACTTACACCCTCTCTCAAAAATCTTCGAAAAATTAATTCATAAACTAATCTACTCCTACCTCATCCGTCAAAACATACTCAACCCCTGCCAATTTGGATTCAGGCCTAATAAAAATACTAATGATGCTATTATACAAATGCTAGAACATATATACACTGCAATAGAGAAAAAAGAAGTCCCACTGGGGATCTTCATTGACTTACGTAAAGCTGTTGATACAGTTGACCATGACTTGCTCCACATAAAATTGTCACACTATGGTATAAGAGGGCACTCCCTCAACTACCTCAAGTCATACCTCAGCAACAGAAGCCAATATGTGTACACAAATGGGGCAAACTCTTCTGCACAACTAATTACAGTTGGTGTCCCACAGGGAAGTGTCCTTGGCCTTCTTCTCTTTCTCCTATACATAAATGACCTACCAAATGCTTCGCAATTACTCAAACCCACACTATTTGCAGATGACACTACATACGTCTTCTCTCACCTGACCCCAGTCATGCTAGCCAATACTGTAAATACCGAATTACAGAAAATATCTACCTGGATGAGGACTAACAAACTTACACTAAACATTTACAAAACCTACTTCATTCAGTTTGGTAACAGAGCTACAGATGTACTTCTTAACATAACGATAAACAGATCACCTATCACAAAGCTAACAGAGGGAAAATTCTTAGGAATCCACCTTGATAATAGACTCAAATTTCATACACATGTACAACAAATTTCTAAGAAAATTTCCAAGGTCGTAGGCAAATTATCGAAGATACGGTACTATGTTCCACAGTCAGCCCTCCTGGCCCTATATCACTCTCTTATTTACCCCTATCTCACCTATGGAATTTGTGCATGGGGCTCAACAACAATTAACCATCTCAGACCACTAATTACCCAACAAAAGGCTGTAGCCAGAATTATAACAAATTCCCACTACAGGCAGCACACTCCACCTATATTCAAAACACTAAACCTACTCACCATACAAAACATCCATACTTATTACTGCACCTATTACATACATAGAACACTTAACTCTGATATTAACCCTCCCCTCAAACATCTCCTTGCCAACCTCAACAGAACACATGACCATAACACAAGGCACAGATCACTCTTTGATGTTCCTCGTGTCCATCTCACACTATGCAAAAACTCAATGCACATAAAAGGCCCTAAAATCTGGAATTCATTACCTGTAAATATAAAAGAAACACTACCTGTTTATAAATTCAAGTCTCTTCTCAAAGTTCACTTACTCACCCAAAACCAAATAAATACTGAATAACTGAACCTTATAAATTGTATATCTTAAATGTTTCTCACAATTATATCACATAAATGTTAAACCTAAGACCCAATCTAACTTTGTTATTTTTTAAATACACTACCTAACAGAATACTCCATTCTACTGAATGTACAACAATGCATGCAACCATATGACCTGTCTTTGTAATACTCATTTGTATTTTATAGTTATCTGTTTACAATAATGTTTTATCACTGATTACATCATTGCTTAGTTAATCTTAAGTTAATAAGCCAGCCCGTAATGCTATGCATACAAGTGGCTCTGTCATGCTGCTCTTACCTGTATTTTTTTGTACCTCTGTATGTATGTTGAAATTATTAAATAAATAAATAAATAAAATAAATAAATAATAGCTAAGAATTTGGTGAAGTGGAGCAATATAATTGGCCTAAAATAGATGTTAATTAACCTGAAACTGCTAACTTTGCGCCAGCGTAATTCTACGAGTTCTCCATCAAATTTCATACATTTGGTGTCATTACAGTCGGAAAAAGATTCTCTACTGTTTCAATTTTTTTTAAAGCGTGGACAGAGAGCAACATCAGTTTTAAGGGTCTGGACAGTGAAAGGGTTAATTAAAACAAGTACTAGATATTAAAGCTTTATGGCCTCATCATATAGAAAGTTGAAGCTTATTTCAGTGTAGTGAGCTCTTATAAAGCTCCTCTAGTGTGATTTTTTTAAATATAATTATGTAAAATATACCTATTGGTAAAAAAATAGGGTGGTAAGTTAGTTTAATATCTTTATGATGTACCCCATCATACCCATCCTGTGGGTGGTAGTCACCCCATACACATCCTGTGGGTGGTAGTCACCCCATACCCATCCTCTGGGTGGTAGTCACCCCATACCCATCCTCTGGGTGGTAGTCAAAAGATTACAAAGGTACATAATGGGTCCAGGGACTGGACCCCAAAGTTATGATAGCTGAACTAGTTACAAAGGTAATGAACTCCAGGTAGATCTGGTCACAATCATGGCAAGTTACAAAGGTAATGAATCATCTACACTCCTACACTTGGCTACAGGGGTGTAAGGGAAGTGGAATATTAAAATGGCTTCAAGAAGAAATCCAGATATTTTTCATTGAAGCCTGAGGCTGTGGGTCCCACAATTTGCACTTGAGGCAGACCCCATCCTACATAAAAAATAAATTAGAAGAGTATATCCAAAATTGAACACATGGAAAAGCCTTCTATAGTACTCTCCACTCAATTTTGGATGCACTTTCAGATATGTACAAAACACACTTTATAGACGAACTTCATAGAGTTGACCTTTCTGTCATGTTTCTTTTTTTTTTTTTTTCAGAAAACACTCATTGTAACAAGGATCAAGCCTCCATGTCTCAGAAAAAAATAATTATAATATAGGAAATAGTCTTAATATAAAAAACAATAGAAAAATAGAAAAATCTCTTATACAAGGCTTCTCTATGAAAGCAAAAGACTCGGCAGACAATGCAACATCCCCCCAATGAAAAGCGGGGGCACCACTAGCACGATAAGAGACAACACAGTGCCAGGGGCCCAAGACTGTTCAACTGCCTCCCAGCATACATAAGGGGGATTACCAATAGACCCCTGGCTGTCTTCAAGCAGGCACTAGACAAGCACCTAAAGTCGGAACCTGACCAGCCAGGCTGTGGCTTGTACGTTGGATTGCGTGCAGCCAGCAGTAACAGCTTGGGTGATCAGGCCCTGATCCACTATGAGGCCTGGTCGCAGACTGGGCCGCAGGGGCGTTGACCCCCGGAACTCTCTCCAGGCAAACTCCAGGTATGGAGAATTGGATATTCGATTTAGTAATTTGTAAAAAGCTTGGTTAAATTTTGTGCCAGCAGTCGTGGCTAGACTTAAAAGCTAAGTAAAAATGTTTTAGTTTGGGTTATTTAAAATTTAGGGGTTAATCAGAATTTATAATAATAGGAGTGTGTGTAAAGGTAGAAAGTTGAAAGTGAACATAGAAAAGAGTAAGGTGATGAGGGTATCAAATGATTTAAAGAAAAATTGGATATCAAATTGGAGGAGGAGGAGTATGGAAGAAGTGAAAGTTTTCAGATATTTGGGAGTTGACGTGTCAGCAGATGGGTTTATGAAGGATGAGGTTAACCATAGAATTGATGAAGGAAAAAAGGTGAGTGGTGCATTGACGTACATGTGGAGACAAAAAACGTTATCCATGAAGACAAAGAAGTATAGAGTATAGTGGTGCCAACACACTTATATGGGTGTGAAGCTTGGGTTATAAATGTTGCAGCGAGGAGGTGGCTGGAGGCAGTGGAGATGTCCTGTCTAAGAGCAATGTGTGGTGTAAAATATTATTCAGAGAAATCGGAGTGTGGAAATTGGGAGAAGTTTGGAGTTTTAATAAAAGAGTTATCAGATGATCTGAAGAGGGGTTGTCGAGTGTTTGGTCATTTAGAGGAGAATGATCAAAGTAGAATGGACTCTGAAGAGCGTATAAAATACTGCAGGGAAAGTAAGTGCGGGGTATTTGTTGTCCTTCGAAAAGGTGTGGAAGGAGGGGGTATAAAGAGGTTTTGTGGGGCCGAAAGGATTGAACATCTAGCAATGGCGTGTGGTGAGCGTGTTAGATAGGAGTTAATGGCTCTGAATGAGTTTTTGGAAACATGACGAACTTTGGAAAGGTGGGGGGGGTGAGCAGGGTAACATTTAGAGAAGGTATTCAGAGAAACCAGTTTTTTTTATTTTTATATAGCCAGACTTGAAGTAACTGGAAATGGAAGGACAATTGCTGCACTTAAAAGGAGAAGTTGGAGATATTGGCAGTTTGGAGGGATATGTTATATATCTTTATATATGCTTCTAAACTGTTGTATCTGGGCACCTTTGCAAAGATGTTATGTAATGTATGAAGTGACTGAAAGTGTTGAATGATGAAAGTATTTTCTTTTTTGGGGGATTTTCTTCCTTTTTGCATCACCCTGCCTCGGTGGGAGACGGCTCACTTGTTGGAAAAAAAAAAAAGGCAATATTAGTATATTAGGAGTAAATTAAGATTATGTTTTAAATAAAAAGAGGCTTGAAAATTAAGATATAAACCAGGATTAGATAAGATAAGATTTCATTCGGATTTTTAACCCCGGAGGGTTAGCCACCCAGGATAACCCAAGAAAGTCAGTGCGTCATCTAGGACTGTCTAACTTATTTCCATTGGGGTCCTTAATCTTGTCCCCCAGGATGCGACCCACACCAGTCGACTAACACCCAGGTACCTATTTGCTGCTAGGTGAACAGGACAACAGGTGTAAGGAAACGTGTCGAAATGTTTCTACCCGCCGGGAATCGAACCCGGGCCCTCCGTGTGTGAAGCGGGCTTTAGCCACCAGCCACCGGCCCACCCTTAGACTTGATTATACATTTCAATGGAGATAAAACTTGAATATTAGTAGTTACGACCTTTAAATTCAAAGAATTTGGCGGTAATGTAGTCTTGTTAGAGGAACCTGTTCTGTAAATGATACAACACGAAGAATCTTGCCTACTTTTGTTTTACAGTTTGTATACCGTCATTGTTAGATAACCTTTGTTGAGCGAGTTGTTGGAATATAACGAGTTAAATGTGTTAAATATATTATGTCGACGAAGAAAGGGAAGCGGTAATTTTTTCCATTGCCCCCACTGGCCAGGAGGTATAACCACTTTTAGGAGTGAAGAAGAACAGTTTTGAGTGGGTGGAGTGCGTGAAGGCATTTACATAGAATGAAAGGGGTAAAGCAGGGCTGGAACTGAAGTGATGCATGACAAGAAATGTTAAAATCAGGGGGGGATATAGTGTTGGGAGTGTTTGGTACTGTTGTTTAATAATGTATGAAAGAGGGGAAGGTAACTAGGGATTGGTCAGAGAGCATTGTATATTCCCCTTTATATAAAGGTAAGTGGGACAAGAGAGATTGTAAAAAATTATAGAGGAATAAGTATACTGAGCATACCAGGAAAAGTGTAACAGTAGTATCATAATTTAAATAATTAGAGGCAAGACAACGTAGAATTGGTGGATGAGCAGAGGAGATTTCTAGAGTGGTAGGGGATTTTGGAAAATCAAGTGTTACATTGACGCATATATGTGAACAGTATTTAAGATAAAGGTAGGAAGTTTTTATAGCATTATGATTTAGAAAAGGCATATGACGGAGTGGATAGGGAGAAGGCAATGTGGCAGATGTTGCAAGTATATGAATAGGTGGTAAGTACTAAATGCTGTAAAGGAGCTTTTATGAGGATAGTGAGGCTTAAGTAAGGTGTGTAAGAAGATAGGAGACTACTTTCCGGTACAAGTAGGTTTTAGACAGGGATGTGGTAATGTCACCTATGGTTGTTTTAATATTATTTATAGATGGGTTGGAAAAGAAGTAAATGCAGGTGTTCGGGAGAGGGGTGGGATTAAATTATGGAATCAAATACAAAATGGGAAGTGACATGTTACTTCTTGCTGAAGATACTGTTCTAAGGGAGATTCTAAAGAAAAATTGCAAAGGTTTAGTGATGAGTTTGGGAGTATGTGTAAAGGTAGAAAGTTAGAAAGTGAACAAAGACACGAAACGGTGATTAGGGTAACAAAATTATTTAGATAAAGAAAAAGTAATATCAAATTGGGGAGGATTATGGAGAGAAGTGAATGTTTTCAGAATCTTGGGAAAGTTTAAGGGTCAGCAGATGGATTTATGAAGGATGAGGTTAATCATAGAATTGATGATGGAATAAAGGTGAGTGTTTGCATTGAGGTAAATGTGGAGAAAAAAACATTATCTATGGAGGCAAAGAAGGAATGTTTAATGAAGTATAGTAGTAAAACCAACGACTCATTGGTGTGAACTGGGTTGTAAAATGCTGCAGCGAGGAGGCGGTTGGGAGGCCACGTGGAGATTCCCTGTCTAATGGGCAATGTGTGGTGTAAATATTTATGCAGAAAATTCGGAGTGAGGAATTAGGAGGTGTGGAGTTTAATAAAAGTATTAGTCAGAGGTCTGAAGAGGGGTGTTAAGGTGGTATGTTCATTTTTAAGAGAGAATGGATCAAGAGTAGAATAGAATTGAAGCATTTAAATCTGTAGGAGAAGGAAGGGTAGGGTAAGGGGGTCTCACCTCGAAAAGGTTGGAAGGACAGGGAAAGGGAGTTTTTGTGGGCGAGGGGCTTTGTGACATCCAGCAGGCGTGCAATGAGCATGTTCGATAGGAATGAATGGAGACGCATGGTATTTGGGACCTACTATCTTTGGAGTGTTAGCAGTAATATTAGTGAAGGGATCTCAGGTAAACTGTTATTATATAACCGGGCTCGAGTCCTGGAAATGTGATGTAAAAAGCCTGCACTCTAAAGGTAGGGGTTGGATATTGGCAGTTTGAGGAGGGATATATTGTTATTTTTATACGTATATACTTCTAAACTGTGTATTCAGTTGCACCTCTGCAAAACATGATATGTGTGGATGAAAGTGTTGAATGTATGATGAAAGTATTTTCTTTTGGGTCCACCCTGCCTGGTGGAGATAGCCGACTTGTTGAGAGAAAAAAAAAAAAATTATATATAACAGTGGACACCCCGGTTAAAAACGATTTTAATCCGTTCAAGAGGGGTAATAGTTATGCGAAATAAACTCTATTTAATGAATTTTCCCCATAAGAAATAATGGAAATCAATTAATCCGTTCAAGACACCCCAAAAAATGAACAAAAAAATTATAAGTCCACATAAATATAGCATTTTCGCCCACACACAAATGTAGAATGATACATGCAACAATAAGTAAGTAGGTACATGCACAGTATATAATGTGCAGTGTACAACTCTACTAAATGAAGGAATAAATGACGGAGCGTGGGTTACCGGATTATGAAGATCAGCATGACTGAGAGAACACTGTGTCCTGGAGTGCCTTTTCCTCGCTGAAGTACTGTAGGTCCTGGTTGGGGCATTGTTCTTCCAGAACAGGCCCTTATCACACTGTGTATGCCACTCGATTTTAAATCTCTCAAACCAACCTTTTGCTGGCTTTAAATTTCACCAATATGAGCAGCTAGTTTCCATCATTGTTTCCTGTTCACCTGGTGTTAGTCGATTGTGTGGGTTGCATCCGTTAGACAAGACTAAGGACCCCAATGGAAGTAAGTTATGACAGTCTTCGATTACACTGACTTTTGGGTTATCCTGGGTGGCAAATCCTCTGGGGTTAATATGATTTCTTGGTATTCTCAATAAGCCACACCCACACAACGGTTCTACAAGCAGCACAGCAGCTGACAGTGCAGCAGCATCATCAGCTGTACCACCAATAGTAGCGATGATTGATTGGGGTTTATTATACAACCTGGCCAGCTCGGAGACATGCACTCCACTTTCCCATACTTATCAATGATCTTTTTCTTCATCTCGTATTGTAATTCTTCACTGCACCCTTAGTGATGTAGGGTGTGGCACTAGAAGCTTTCTTGGGGCCCATGGACCACTTATTTTCCAGAAAAAGCACCGAAAACACTGTAATAATTACGAAATATTCCCATTGTCTGCATGGTATGTTACCCGGCTGAGGCTGGCTGGTAAACATGCGCACACCGTCGTAACATGAGAGCGTGTCTCAGGCCGCACCCCAAGTATTGGACTCGGTCTCGGACGAAAATCGGATGAATCGGGTTTTTAAGCGGTATGTGAGGCCAAAATTTTTGCAATTAAAAGTAACGGTATGTGGGCTAATAATCGCTATGTGAGCCATCGTTATGGCACGGGGGTCCACTGTATATACAGGAACCCCCGCATAACGAATACCTCCCGAAGTGCGAACAATATGTTAAGTTTATGTATGTAAGTGCCGTTTGTACGTGTTATGTTTTGTGGGGGACCTAAATGGACTAATCTATTCAACAATAATTTCCTTATGGAACAAATCTGGTCAGTACTGTAGACCCTGAACATACTTCTGGAGTGAAAAAAATATCGTTAACACAGGGTCCACTGTCTACATGTATATAATATACACCTACCATCCGACTTACGAACGAGTTCTGTTTCCGAGAAACCGTTGTAAGTCGAAAATGGTCTAATTTGAATTTTACTACTAAATATCAACAAACATTTTTGTAATAACTTTATTTTAGTTGTTATATTTTGGTATTCAATGTTTTACTTCACTTTTTATGTTGTTAGTACTGTATTTTAAACTGTAATGGTTTAGGATAAACACTGTGTACAAAAACCAAATTTTGTTTATTTCCCAGAAAATTGGCATAAAAACCACACGGTCGTATGTCGATTGGTCGTAAGTCGGATGGTGATGTGTGTGTTTGTGTGTGTGTATATAATATATATATATATATATATATATATATATATAT